ACCTAGGAGTTTGGTTTCCTGGGTTCCTTTCATCTGTTCCCCTGCAATGCAGTGGGGGCCTAGCCTGGTCTCCAGTTTCTGACTAGAGCTACTACAGCCAACAGAACTGCTAATCACTGAGCTGTGAATAATTTGCTTTTGAGAAGTAAATAGAACCTTGCCAGTAGAGAACCTAGGGGTGTGGCCAGTAGTTCTTTTCCCAGGCTCCTCCCTTCCCACCCCCTAACTGACCTTAACCTTCTTCCATAGCTGGACAGCAGCCAACTCCAGCCTAAACAATGCTCTCAACTTTATTGGCTCCTTTGCCTTGGAACCACTGCCACCCCCAGCTGGCTAAGGCCTTCCCACCAGGCTTCCCAGTGGAATCAAGGTTTTCTATTAACAAGCAAATACTTGTGAAAAGTGAAGGGTGAAAAGTGTTCATGGGCTTTGAAGTATTAGTGTTGGTTCCTATAATTGAGACATGGCAAGGCTTTGACCTGGAATGGATGGACACGTTCAAGTGATCCAGCAAAGTCAAAAACGTAAATGTACAAGACTGATTGGTGGAGCTGGGCAGATGGCTCAGTAGAATAAGCCCTTGCCTGGCAATCACAAGGGCCTGAATTCAATCCCCAGTTCCGACAAAAAAAAAAAAAGACTGATTGGTATGACCCCCGGTGTCAGGATAAATATGTCACCCAGACACAATGTGAAAATTGCCAACGAATGTCCTTTTACCTATAATAGAAGTAGCATAAAGTTTTGGTGAGGTAGCCCTGCCAGCTAACATTTGATAGTGATGGTATATGGGCCACTGTGGTCACTTTGGCTGTACGGTGGAAGCCAGCATCCCAGATCAGGGTAAACAACTCCGGTCCATGGACAGGGCTATGGGAAGTTTAGTGTCAGGAAACTGAGGTACCGAGAGTCAATATATACACTGGGCTGTCCCTCTATCCACTCTGGGTCCCAGGCCATCTCCAAATGTGGAGGAACAAGGCAAGGCAGCTAGAGGAATGAATTGTCAGATTGCTTTGGAGAGGAGAGGATTCCACAAGAACTCCCTAACATCTTCACAGACTCATGAGAGTTTTTTTTCTGGTATGGGAGTTCGAACTCAGGACCTCAAGCTTGCCAAGCAGGTGCTTATGCCAAGCATCTCCCAGGCTTCTCCCTAACTTCTTCCTCTACTCCTTTGGCAGAAACATTGCTTGATTTTTTTAGTTGGGTGGTCAGGGAGTTGTTCTTTGTTGTTGTTCTTTTTTTTTTAAAGTTTTATTTATTTATTTATTCATTGTGTGTGTGTGTGTGTGTGTGTGTGTGTGTGTGTGGCCAGCTCAGCCCACCAGGGGGTGGGGCTGGCTGGCATGTGGTGCTGGGGGATTGAACTGTGGTCCCTGTGCTTTGCCAAGCTTGTTCCAAGTAGGTGCTTTAGACCACTGAGCCATCTCTCCAGCCCTGTTGTTGTTCTTGTAAATTTATGTATTTAGTACAGGGTCTGCGGGGTCTACAGGGTCTCACTATGTAGATTGGACTCATGATTTTTCTGTTTTCAGCCTCCCAAGTGCTGGGATTACCAGCGTGCCACCAAACCCAGTCTCAATGCTGTCTCAGGCTGGAATTGAACCCTGGCCACTATACTCTGCCTAAGCAGGTGCTTTAGTCCACTGAGATATCTGGCTGGCCCAACAGCCCATTTTTATTGAGCACCAGCCCCCATATTGAGCACTTTTTAAAGCCCAGGCTGGCTTCAAACTCATGGTGATCTTCCTGCCTCAGTGCTGAGGTTACAGGCATGTGTCACCATCCTGTAAAGTATATATCACCATGAAGACAAGGACTGTGTCTGTCTTAGTGGTATAGCCTCACCCCTTCTCTGGTGGTAGATTCACCTATACCACTTTTTTTTGTGTGTGTGTGGTACTAGGGATTGAACTCAGAACCTTGTGCTTTCCAGGCAAGCACTTATTCTACTGAGCTATCTCCCTGGCCCAGTAATTTCACCAATAGTGTTGAATAAATCAAGTAGGTTAAATAGGAATTTGCTGGAGCAAAAAGCACATGGGAGGAGGAAACAATAGTAGTAGGTAACACTCAGTGTACCCCATATAGGATTTTTTTTTTTTTTCCTGGAACCAGGGATTGAACTCAGGCCCTTGTACTTGCCAGGGAAGCACTTATTCCACTGAGCCATCTTCCCAGTCCCATAGCATAGGATTCTTAGTAGACACTTTAACTCTGTGGGATAAAAGGAAAAGAACAAAAGGATTAAACCTAGAAAAAATTAAAGTGAAATGATAGAACCAGCCTAGAAAAGCAGGGTGTGGTACATACCCCTGTAATCCCAGCACTCAGGAGGCTGAACCTGGGCTATAGTGTGAGTTCAAGGCTGGTCTGAACTATATAGTGAGATTCTCACAAATTCAAAACAGAACAGAACAATCAAAAACCAAAGCTCTCTGAGGAGGCTAGAGACCTGAATTCCAGTCCCATCTCTGCCACTCCCTTATGATTTTTAGTTCAGTTATTTTCATTTTGTAGGCTTTAGTTCTCTCATCCATAAAAAATAGGTATCAAGTTAAATCCATGTATTCATTAGATTTTACTGAAGAGTCACAATCTTCAAGGCACTTTCTGAAGCACTAAAAATATATTGCTGAGCAGTATATTCAGAAGCTTGCATTCCAGAAGAGGGAAAGAGACAAGTAAAATTCCACAGACAGGACAAGCAAATGGTGTTCAGTGCTAAGAAGAAAATTGAGTTGATGGGATAGTACAGGGAAGTATTTGTGGCTGGGTAATCCGAGAAACCCCTTCTGAGCAGGTACCATGTCCACCAAGACTCAAATAGTAGGCTGACTGGTGGTAGAATGTTTCAAACAGGGGCAATAGCAAGAGCAGAGCCAGGCAAGTTTAGGGAACAGAAATGATGTAACCCTCTTGAATTCTAGAAAGTGGTGCATTGCTTTTTTGGGGATTTGTATTAAGAGATTATTTCTTGGTGGTGTGGACTATCTGGTTCTTAATGGAAGTGGCAGGGCCCAGGGAGATGGCTCAGTAGGATAAGCGCTTCCACGGCAAGCACAAGGGTCTGAGTTCAATCCCTATTTCCGGGGAAGAAAAAAAAAAAAAAAGTGGCTGGGAGGTACAGAGTCTGGAATCCTGGGATATGACTGTCTCCCTTACTTTACCACAGATCTGATAGCTCAGCTGGCTCCTTAAGTTGATGCAGCCTCCATTATAGCTGCACCCTCTAAATGCAGACAGAGGAAAGCAGCCCTCTTCACCTCACTCATAACCTTATAGCGCCAGACCCTTTCCAATCCCATCTAGCCACCTTTGAGCCTGAAGAACCATGGAGCCACGGCTTTGAGAACAGAATTCAGCCTCCTTATTTTCCAGTCAGAGCAGGAGCCAGAAAATGAAACAGGAAACAGAGCGGAAGAGGCGGGGGTTGGGTAGCAAAGAAGGAAAGAAATCGCAGGAAAGTGGAGCTGAAGATGTAGACGAAGTCCTAAGTCTAAAAGGGTGACAGTTGAGCTTTTAGAAAACATTCTGACTTGTCACAAAAGACCCCTCCCTTTTCATAAACAGATTTTTGAGAGACTCTAGTGTGGAAAAAACCCTGAGAATATATGGCTTTTTTTCCTTTGTGAATTCACAGTGCAAGGACAGTCCATTTCTCAATGTTATCTTTGCAAATAGAACGCTGTTTGGGGCCTTATAAGCTTCTAGAGATTCAAGTCACAACCTTGGGTCCGCAGTCACAAGAGTGTCCTGAGACTTTGCCATTTTCCTCATAGGCCTCTGGAGCTGAAAAAAATGCATGCCATTGAAAAACCTGGGAGGAGAGGCCGTCTAAACTTCACCCCCTCCCCCTTTGCCACCCCACAACCACTAAAACGTGCCGTGTACTTCGTTCACCTTACACACAGCAAACATCTGGGGGTAATTTAGGTCTCAGGACCTGAAATGCATTATAGAGTCCAAAGATACAGTCGTGTCCCCCCTCCCCCCGGTGGGCCAGTTTTCTTTGCTTGGAGAGATAGCAGCCATCCCTTTGTTCCCACCCACATTAGTGGCTGTTAGAGAAGATAAATCCCTCCCTCAGGCAGGGCTGTGGCCAAAGGGTAACCCAGACCCTAGCTTCGTTTGGAAGGCAGATAACTGAAACCACAGAAGGCTTTGGAATCCTGAGAAACGTGAAATCCACCAACGGAGAAGGATTTATTATCTGTTTCCTTTATGGAGAGTGCAAAGTTGTTCTAACAGTTTCCGTTATAGGGGCACCAACTGGCTGCTCCTCCCCAACAGACGGTTTTGTTGAGTTAGCTTCCTTTTTTTTTTTTTTTTCTGGTCTTATTTCCTATGAGAGAAACTGCTTGAGTGAAGGGAGAAAGGAGTCCAAGGGGGTGACTCCAAGGTTTCCTTTCCAATCCTCATGAACCACCTGAGGTGGGGCTGAGGACTGAAACAAGATAAGGTTCCTGGTAGCCAGGAGGGGAAAGTCAAGGGGATCCCCCACTTTCTTCACACCCAGGATGTAGGATGCCATTGGTGGCCACAGAAACCCCAAAAAGGCTTTTGACTTCAGAAAAAAACCTATTGTGCGTCAGACCCTGTGCTGAACTGTTGTTGCATGACAGTAGGGAATGCGCGCCTCAGGCTTCTGCGAACAAACAGCGGGGAAGCCCTCAACTACAGGAGCCTTCGGCCCACATGGGGAACTCAGTGAATGGTGCAAGGCGGCACTGGGGCAAGAGCACTGACTCTGAGACTAGAGCCCCCGCAGCCTGAAAGCGAAAGAGGGAGCTGAGAGGAAAGCGAAGTGAGAGAAAAACTCCTCAGGTGACACCAAGGCGGGAAGATGCTCGGCAGGGCTAAGCTCAGCCGTAGTCCCCGCCCCGCTCGCCCGGCTTCAACATGGCCGCCGCGGGAGGGGGGGCGCACGATCCGAAGCGCGGGCAGGAGCGGGGTGGAGCTACCGCCGCCGAGCCAGCGCGCAGGCGCGGGCAGCCGCGGCCCCGGATGGAGCTGCTGTCGCGGTTCGGTCCCTGCCGGACCCGTCGGGATGGACAGGCACGGAAGACGCGGGCACCAGTTCTCGAGCTCTGGCGCTCTGGGAGGGAAGAAAGCTGTCAAACGGAGGCTTAGAGAAATGAGACAGAGGCTGCGGAGAACCGTGGAGCTCCGCCTCTCCGCCATAACGTCCTCGAGCACCGCCTCTTCCTTTACGGCCTCCCGCCCTCGCCTGTTTCCGGCCTTGTTCCCCGTCAGGACTCTGCCGAGTCCCTCGGGAGTATCCCGTGGGTCGTGCCTCCTTTGGGATGAGGATCGGGGCTGTGTCCCTGATAGAGACTGTCCAAAAGGAACAAGCTAGCACGGGGTCCAGACACCGCCGGGCTTGGCGGAAGGCGACGTCTGGCTAGAGACGGCCCGCGAGGCCTTTTGGCCTTAAGGACGCTGGGTCAGAGCGACGTCGTCGGCCCACCGAAGATGTTAGTCTTACTCAGAGGGTTTAAGGTTCTAGTTAATAGGTTTTTCCAAATTCTCGAGGCATATTGTAAGCATACAGCAAGAGCATTCTCTGGCGTTGAGGCAGTGCTGGGCTAGGCCTTGGATCTGGGTTATAATCCTACCTGGGAAAGAGTACATAAAACCCTTTGGCTGTGGGTGATGTTTCAGAGGCAGAGAATGAGGGTCAAGTAGTCTTGGGTGTGTCACTTGGCCCCAGTGAGCCTCAGTTTCCACATCCATAAAACGGCGATGGTAATTATACTGTCCTTACACTCTCTAATGAGATCTCTGGATCCTATTTATCTCATGGGAAAATAAGAGTGAAACTGGTTGATCCGTAAATGCCTTCCCATTAAGGAGTTTGATTTGGCAAGGGCTTGATGGAAAGTGAGGTTGGCAAATAGCTGGAAGAGAGAATTGACTGGCTTTCTTTTGCTTTTACTTGGTTTACCTTAAACTAAATGTAGGATACAAGACTATGGTCGCTGAGGCCAGAGTTTGACTCTGGAAAGGAAGAACGCAAGTCTGGTCACGAGGCGGAGGTGGGTTAAGCACTTTTCTGTTCCCAACTTCTCTTCTGCATGTGGGTGGAAGCCAAGGAAGGGAAAATAGTTCACCCTAGAATAGAGGAACAGCGTGTCAGGTCGGGTGTACCTGTTTCTGTGATTTCTCTCGATTCTGCGAATCAGATATTGTAGATAATTGGATAGAATCACAAAATACCGCTGCCCTCTGGAGTTTTGGCTTTTAAACTGAATTTTCGTGAGCAAAGGGCCCCTCCCTTCCTCCTGACCTTCTAGTGGTGGAGTAAGCAGCAGGCGCCCCCTTGTGCCGCAGACAGAATATGGTTGCTTGTTGGCCAACTGCCTTTTTGGAGAAATGTATTTTCTTGGAGCTTGTTACTTTGTACAGAAAATACGAAGTACTTTTTATTTTAGTCTTTACATGAGATATGATGAGAAGAATACTTGGAACAGTGATTTTTACATCTAGTCAACCAACTAGTGGTGCTGTATTTTGGCTCTGTCATGTCTCCTTAAAGTGCTGTGTGAAGCTGGATGTTGATCGCACACACCTATAATCCCACCTGCTGGAGAAGCTAAGGCTGGAGGATTGCAAGTTCAAGCCCAGCCTGGGCAGTTTAAGAACTTGTCTCAATTTTTTTTTTTTTTAGTTTCTTTTTTTTTTCAAAGTTTTATTGATAAACATAGCAATGAGACAGTTTCAAATCAAATCGGAAGTACAATTTCAACAAATAATTGTCTCAAATTTTTGAAAGGTCTGGGATATAGCTCCACTTTTTAATGCTACTCTCTGGGAATACAGTTTTGATGTGTAGAAGCCCCTGCCTCACAGGCACCCTGAAGAGGTGACAGCAAGCCAGAGTGATGGCACCCACTTTGTGATCCCAGCCTTCTGGGAAACTGATACAGTAAGACTAAAAGTTTGAGCCCAGCCTGTGTGACCTAGGAAGACTCTTGTCTCAGATACAAAATAGAAAAAAGGGCTGGGTGTGTAGGTTAGTACAAAAGCCCTGGGTTCAATCCCAGGAAACACAAAATAAATTTTAAAGAGGTACAGGGAAGTGAGAGCATAGCACACTATCTAAAATAGAGTAAGAGGGCCAGGCAGTTAGCTCAGCAGATTAAAACACCTGCTTAGACAGACAGTGACTGGGGCTTTGATCCCCGCCTGCTTTGTGAGCCCCTCCCCTGGGGCCTACTGAGATGGTGTATGAGACTGGGCAACCCACCTGTAATCCCAAGGCTTGTGAGCTGAAAACCAGGAAGGATCTCAAGTCTGATTTGTGTAGTGAGACCCTGTACAAATGCATTTAAAAAAAAAAAAAAAGAGACTTCTAAAAACAGCTAAGATCTAAAGATTTGGTGGGTGTGGCCAGATAAAATACCCTTTTACCCTCTTTTAAGTTTTTTTTTTTTTTTTCTTTTAGTACTGGGGATTGAATTTAGGACCTTGCCTTATTCTATTGAGCTATCTCCCCAGCCCCTACCCTCTTTAAGTTGTTTTCTTTTTTTCCGGAACCGGGGATTGAACTCAGGCACTTGAGATTGCCAGAGAAGCACTTATTCTACTGAGCCATCTCCCCGGCCCCCCCCTTTAAGTTTTTATTTTTTATTTTTTATTTTTTTAAAAACATTTATTTATTTATTTGTGTGTGTGTGTATGTGTGTGTGGCCTGCTCAGCCCACCAGGGGGCGGGGCGGGCTGGCATGTGGTGCTGGGGGATCGAACCACAGTCCCTGTGCTTTGTTAAGCTTGTTCTAAGTAGGTGCTTTAGACCACTGAGCCATCTCACCAGCCTCCTCTTTAAGTTTTTAAAAATTTTATTTTAATTGAACTTGCAGTGATCCTTCTGCTTCAGCCACCTAAGTGCCCTGCCTAATATTTTTTCTTTCAGACATAGTTCTTCAGCCCGCATCAATGAGCTACTTTTTTTTTTTTTAATTTGGTACAGGATCTGGCTATGCAGCTTGGACTTGTAGTGATGCTACAGTTTTTAGCCTCCCCAGTGTTGGGATGGGATTACAGTCCTGCGCCACCATGCCAGGTCTTGGTTGCTGGCTCAGTGGGCCTCAGGGGATGGGGTTAGTGCAACATGCAGTTACAGAGATTGAACCCTTGGTCCCTGTGCTTTCCTAAGCAGACCCACCTTTTTTTAAAAAAAATTTTATTTATTTATTTATTTTTGACAAGTCCAGGGATTGAACTCAGACCCTTGGGCTTGCCAGGGAAGTTCGTTTTCTACTGTGCCATCTCACTAGTCCTTGGCTTTTTTTTTTTTTTTTTTTTTGGCAGAACCGGGGATTGAACTCAGATCCTTGTGTTTGCCAGTCAAGCGCTTATCCTACTGAGCCATCTCCCTGGCTCCCCTGGCCCCTTTTTTAAATTTTATAATTGAGCTACTTTTGATACTTTTGTCTTTTCTAGTTTCCCAGGCTGCTGTTTGAAAGTTCTGTGGGCACCATTGCTAGTGTTAGGCCCAAGAATTGTAAAAAAAAAAAGAAAGAAAGAAAAAAAGAAACCTGAACCTGAGTTCCCTTGCCTCAGAGTGTTCAAAGTGGCTTTTTTGAGACAGGGTCTCACTGTGCAGTTCATGCTGGCCTTGAGCTTACTTTGTAGCCCAGACCGGTCTCAAACTCCCAACAGTCTTCCTGCCTCAGCCTCTTGAGTGCTTGGATTACAGATGTGGGCCACCATACCTGGCTTTCAGAGTGACTTTTAGTTGTTTATATGTTGTTGCCACTTGAACAAAGAAATGGGAAATAAGTTTTTCTTCATCCCTAGTAGTAGACTTTCTTCACCCTAAGTTTGTTTTAGCAGTGGGAGCTGGCTGAAGTCCTGCTGAGTAGTGGTTTTCTTTTCCTTCTCCACTTAGTTTTACAGACAGCTGAACACACATCAGAGAGCTAAGCTGGCATGTGTAGTCATTATGGTCTTCCAGTATGGTTCTGTGCCCCACTTTTGGGACTAGTTTGGGAGCTAGTGTATTATTCTGGGCAAGAGGAAAAGGGCACTCACCAAATAATAGCAACCACAATAGATTTGTGTAGTACTTCACATGTTAGACCATGTCACCATCATGACAGTTATGTGAAAGGAAAATGATTTTGTTCTCATTTTATCAGAACTGAGGTTCAAAGAGACTAAATATTTGTGACAATCAGAACTTGAACCCCGACCCATCTCAGCATGCTTGAGGGTGGGCTGGCACAGCATGTGATACCAGGAATCAAACCTGGGTCCTTGCACTTACGAGGCAGGTGCTTAGACCGCTGAGCTATCTCTGCAGCCCCTCAACAGGCTTTTATTTATTTATTTATTTTATGTGTGTGTGTGTGTGTGTGTGTGGCCAGCTCAGCCCGCCTGGGGGAGGGGCTGGCTGGCATGTGGTGCTGGGGGATTGAACCGTGGTCCCTGTGCTTTGCTAAGCTTGTTCTAAGTAGGTGCTTTAGACCACTGAGCCATCTCACCAGCCCTTCAACAGGGTTTTAAAGGTCTTTTGTGAGCTTACTTTTTTAGCTCCCGACTTTTCTGTGTGGAACTTTGCTAACATGAATATAGTACTCCCACATGCCAGTCAGTGGTCCCATCTTCCCTCAAGAAGCTCTTCCCTCCTTGGGAAGTTAGGTGGCTAAGCTTGCTATAAAATGCTGAAGGGGATGATGTTTCCTAAGAAGAATGTTTTTACCAATTACTTTCAGCTTCTATGTGATACTTTCCTCCTTGGGTTTTGGAATTTAGAGATACACGGAAGATCAGGTAGCAGAACATCTGAATTCCTGGCTGTGAGAGGATGTGGCCTCTGGATCCATCCCGGAAAGAGGTGCTGAGGTTTGCTATCAGCTGCCGTGTCCTGACTCTGATGCTGCAGGTCAGTCTCAGATTCTTTTATTCTTTTTTTTTTTTTTTTTAATTTATGAATTTGTAAACTCCAATCAACAATAAAGGTTTTTTTTTTCCCATATAGTTACTTGATGTTTGTACTCTTTCATCTGAGAAGTGTTTATTTCAGATGCTTAATAATGGTTTTTAAATATAGGGGTTTGATTTTTTTAATTCTTTTTTTTTTTTTTTTTGCGGAATCAGGGATTGAACTTAGGCCCTTGCGCTTGCCAGAGAAGCACTTATTCCACTGAGCCATCTCTCCAGCCCCTTTAATTCTTTGCATAATCTACATATTAGTTCTAGTAAGATTTCTTTTTTCTTTTTTTTTTTTTTACATTTATTTAGTGTGTGTGTGTGTGTGGCCAGCTCAGCCCACCAGGGGGCAGGGCTGGCTGGCATGTGGTGCTGGGGGATCGAACCGCGGTTCCTGTGCTTTGCCAAGCTTGTTCCAAGTAGGTGCTTTAGACCACTGAGCCATCTCTCCAGCCCCTCTAGTAAGATTTCTTCCCATTCTGTGGGTTGTCTTTTTACTTTGTGGTTTCTTTTGCTGTGCAAAAGCTTTAATTTGTTTATCATTACTACTTTTTTACTATAATACCTGAAATTGGCAAAAAAAAAAAATTGAATTTGGTACAGGGTTTTACTATGCAGCTTGTACTCATAGTGATCTTCCTGTTTTCAGGGTCCACAGTGCTGGGATTACAGGTCTGTGCCACCACACCTAGTCTTGGTCAGTAGTTAACCATCTCCATCCCCCACCCCACCCCTGGCACTCTGCTTGACTTTTTTTTTTTTTTTTGGCAAAATCAGGGATTGAACTCAGGCCCTTGCTCTTGCCAGGCAAGTGCTTATTCTACTGAGCCATCTCCCCGGCCCCTCTGCCTGACTTTTGTATTACATTAGTTACCAGTTTAGAAGTAACTAATCCAGCCGGGCTTGGTGGCACACACTTGTAATCCCAGCACTTGGGTCTGGGGCAGGAGAACCATTGCGAGTTTGAGGCCAGCCTGGGCTATAAAGTGAGCTCAAAGCCAACCTAAACAACATAGCAAGATCATGGCTCAAAAAGACAAGGGGTAAATCCCCGGTTCTGAAGAAAAAAAAAAAAAAGACAAGGGGTGCTGGCCAGATAGCTCAGCAGACTAAAGCACTTGCTTAGGCAGACACAGGGACTGGCCTTTGATCCCTGGTGTGCCCTGCTGGCCCTACCCCCAGGGTGCGCTGAGAAGGTGATTGAGACTGGGTATGTTGGCATGCGCCTGTAATCCCAGCCCTTGGGAGGTTGAAAAACAGGAAGGATCACTACAAGTCCGATCTGTGTAGTCTGATCCCTGCAGACCCTGTACTAAATACATGTTAAAAAAAAAAAAAAAAGGAGGGAGGGGCTGGGGAGATAGCACAATAGAATAAGTGCTTGCCTGGCAAGTGCAAGGGCCTGAATTCAATCCCTGGTTCCACCCCCCCCAAAAAAAAAAAATGACAAGGGGCCGGGAAAATAGCTCAGTGGCTTAAGCACTTGCCTGGCAAGTATAAGGTCCTAAGTTTGATCCCTGGTACAAAAAAAAAGAACCCAAAACTGAGCTGCTGATTTCCTTTGAGTCTCTTCCTCATTATATTTGCTTTTGCAATGCTGGGGATCAAATCTAGATCCCCATCCATATAAGCTTTCTACCACTGAGCTGTGTTGCCAGCCCTGTTGTTCTTCATTAAGTGGTACTTCTTTTCGTTCATATACTCAACTAAAATCCTGATTCTCATTCACCCCACAGGCCTTCTTCAATGCCGTCATCCCAGATCATCACGCAGAAGCCTTTTCCCCTCCCCGCCTGGCTCCCTCAGGCTGTGTGGACCAGCTTGTGGAAGCTCTTCTGGGTGGCCTCTCTCGCTGGGATGCCGAACACTTCCTTTTCATTGCTGAGCATGGCTACCTCTATGAGCACAACTTTGCCTTTTTCCCCGGCTTTCCCTTGACCCTGCTGGTAGGGACTGAACTGTTGAGACCCCTTCGGGGGTTACTGAGCCAACGGAGTTGCCTACTGATTTCAGTAGCATCACTCAACTCCTTGTTTTCTGTGCTGGCTGCACTAGCACTTCATGACCTGGGTTGTCTAGTTTTGCATTGTCCCCACCAGGCCTTGTATGCAGCATTGCTTTTCTGCCTCAGCCCTGCAAATGTTTTCCTGGCAGCTGGTTACTCAGAACCTCTGTTCGCTTTCCTGACATTCAGTGCTATGGGACAGCTGGAGAGAGGCCGAAGCTGGATGAGTGGGCTCCTCTTTGCTCTTGCCACTGGGGTGCGTGCCAATGGGCTGGTCAGTGTTGGTTTCCTCCTGCATTCTCAGTGTCGAGGCTTTTTCTCTTTTGTGATGTTGAACCCCCAAAGACAGTTCCTCAAACTGGTATCCTCTATGTGCCTGTCAGTGCTCACACTCAGCCTTCCCTTTGCTCTCTTTCAGTATTATGCATATACCCAGTTCTGTCTGCCAGGCCCAGCCCGCTCTATTCCTGAGCCCTTGGTGCAGTTAGCTGTGGAAAAAGGCTATCGGATTACAGAGGGGAATGAGCCACCATGGTGCTCCTGGGATCTTCCTCTAATATACAGCTATATCCAGGATGTCTACTGGAATGTTGGCTTTCTGAGATACTATGAGCTCAAGCAAACACCCAATTTTCTGCTGGCTGCACCGGTAGCTATATTGGTGTCCTGGGCAACCTGGACCTATGTGACCACACACCCTTGGCTCTGCCTTACACTTGGGCTTCGAAGGCACAAGAACAGTAAAACCCTAGAGAAGTCCATTCCTGGCTTCCTCAGTCCACAGGTGTTTGTTTATGTGGTCCACGCTATGTTTCTGCTGCTGTCTGGAGGCCTGTGCATGCATGTTCAGGTGAGATAAATTCTTGCATGGAGTAAAAATGTGAATATAGGCAAAACTCCCAGGACAGAAGATAGACTAGCCTCTCCCATTTGAGTGACTGGTACTTAATCTATATGTTCAACAACCACTTGGGGATTTTGTTTGTGCCAGACCTTGAGTCAGACCTCAGGATGGAGCACAAGTAAAATAAAATTACTGCCGGAGTTTTGTGGAATAAACAGGGATATAGACATTGAACAGATAAAATTATAGTATAGTGAGATGGAATAGGGCTTGCTGTTTTAAGATACAAAATAATTTTTTTTTTTTTTTTTTTTTTTTTTGCGGAACCGGGGATTGAATTCAGGCCCTTGCACTTGGCCAGGGAAGCGCTTATTCCACTGAGCCATCTCCCCAGCCCCCAAAATAATTTTTTTAAAACCTCAGATGAAATATTAAGGAAAAGAAGTAGCAGCTAAGTCATTGAAAGAGTTGAAGAAGGCATCATCATATTGAAGATGCAGCCTGAAGAATAAGAAGGAACTTTTCATAAAAAGCAAAGGAGTTGGCCTGGGGAGATAGCTCAGTAGAATAAGCACTTGCCTGGCAAGCGCAAGGGTCTAAGTTCAATCCCCAGTTCTGCAAAAAAAAACCCAAAAAACAAAAACCAAAAAAACCGTGGAGGATGTCATGGGGACCTCCCCACAAGTATACCCATGTTAGCTTCTAGAAATAAGTCAGCTCAGGCAGGTGCTGTTTTCAGAGGATATACCTTATCTGTTGTAGGATGGTGGCAACAATACAGAAGGATTAAGAGGAAGATAATTTTTTGTCTGATCTCTTGTCTCCAAGACTTAGCTGTGTCTACTTCTTGAAGGCACACGTTGGCTATTTACAGGGTTCTCTGAGCTGTGTGATTAGGAGACACAGGAAATAGAAAGTGGCATTATGTGTTTGTGACTGGATTGCTAGCACAGTTTCCAGGGAATGTGTGGGAGGCCACTTGAAGATGTGGCTCTGAAAACCTGGAAGAGGGAGAAAGTTGGACCACATGCTCTCTAGCGGGACCTTTCCCTGTGCTTTGCCATTCCTGTGAGATAAGGGAGCTTTCTTAGATTCCCAAGCCTTAGATCACAGCCCAGAGTCAAGAGTCAAGGTCTTGGGTTAAAGTTAAATCGCAGTGTTTTAGCATTGATTGTCCCACTATTGTAAATAGTCTGATGATTTGTGTTTTTGTAAGATGGAGGTTGTCTAGCAGGTATTGAATGCCTATGTATAAGGCACATGCTGAGGTTTGTTGAATTGCTTTTCCAGAACCCAATGACTAGAGCAGAGAACCCCAGGTTGATCCATCTTGCATCAGTGACCTTCCCATAAATGTGTGGGTTTTCTCATGATTTCTAGGTTCTCACCAGGTTTTTAGGCTCCTCCACTCCCATTGTATACTGGTTTCCAGCTTACTTACTTCAGGATCAAGAGCCACTGTTGAGATCACCAGAGACAGCGCCTTGGAAACTTCTTGTGGAAGACTCTCCATCAGGACAAAAGGTTCCCAGAAATCCTATCGTGGGACTTTTGTACAACTGGAAAACCTGTTCTCCAGTCACACGATACATTCTAGGCTACTTCCTGACTTACTGGCTCCTGGGACTACTCCTGCATTGCAACTTCCTGCCTTGGACGTGACCTGGAGTGTCGAGGGACAGGCTGGGACCTGAAAACTCACTTAACCCAGGATCTGAAAGTTAACATTGGTGCTGCCTGTGCTGCTCTGTGATCATTGCTGTATCCATTAGAATTCTTTCAAATCATCATCTTTTTTTTCCAGACAGGGTCACCCTATGTAGCTCAGGCTGGCCTTGAACTTACTGTGTGGTCCAGGCTGGCTTCAAACTCTTGGCAATCCTCCTGCCTCAGCTTCCCAAGTTTTGGGATTATAGCAATGTACCACTATGCCTGGCCTTGGCTCCATTTTTGGATTGTGATTTGGAATGGGAGAAGCATAAGCCGCTAGAAAGATCCTTCTGGGGCAAGTTTTAGAGTGGTAACTATTTTCACTGTAAGTAAAGATAATCTTATTCCAAGTCTAAAATACCCTTGGATCTGTCTAGTCAGTCAGCATAGAGGAGACAGTCTTAACCTGCCACTGACTCATACATTTAAATGTAAATTATTTAAATGCATGCTTGATCAAAGACTCTAGCAAACAGACTGGTGATAGTCCACAGAAGATAGTACATGTCTAGACAGTGTGATACCAGTAGGAAAATGGGGCTATCTTGTCTTTTTTTGATACCAGGAATCAAACTTAGGACCTTGCACTTGCCAGGCAGGCTCTTGTGCCACTGAGCTATATCCCTGGCCTGGGACTACCTTTTCTAAATGGAATATTTCTGAAGATTTTTTTTCTTGTGATTGTGTGATATTTGTGTGTGTGTATCTGACAATGATATACTAATTAAACAACTGTTAGTTACACATGCAATAAATTACTTTTTTACAAATAATAAGAGATTTGGGGTATAGCCCTTTTGTAAAGTTTGTAAGGCCTTGGGTTTGATCCCCAGCATCAACTAATATAAGTCACTTAGAAATATCAGGGTAAGAATGTGGCAGGAAACCGAGTGTGGTGGTACTTGCCTGTAACCATAGCACTCAGAGGTGGAGGCAGGAGGAATGCTGTGAGTTCAAAGACAGCCGGAGGTACATAGAGTGACTTCAGGACCAGCCTGCTTCACATAGTGAAACCTGTCTCAAAAAAAATAAAGTGTGTTTGGGGCCAGGGAGATGGCTCAGTAGGATAAGCGCTTGACTGGCAAACACAAGGATCTGAGTTCAATCCCCGGTTCCACCAAAAAAAAAAAAAAAAAAAGTGTGTGACAGGAAGCTAAGCATAATGGCACATGCTTATAATCCTAGGATTCTGGGAGGCTGAGGCAAGAGGATCATAAATTTTAACTCAACCTGGGCAATTTAGTAAGATCCTGTCTTATTTTCTCCCCTGAAGATCTAACTACATAGCTTAGGCTGGCCTTAAACTCATGGCAGTCTTCCTGCTTCACCGTTCTAAGTATTGGGATCATAGGTGTGTGCCACCATGCATACATTAAAAAATTTTATTACTTTTATTTATAAAATTTTATTGGTACATTTTATTTTATTTTTAAAGTTTTGGGGGCCTGCCCCTTAGCTCAGTTCTTTAAGTGGCTGCTTCAACAAAGCAGTCAGGCTCAGGTTGCTGTAGTTCAATCCCCACAACTCAAGCCAGCCAAACCTGCCCTGAAGGCATTCGGCAAAACAAAAAATCCTGCCATTTTTGGGGGCGGAGAGAGGGCTCAGTGGAATAAGCGCTTCCCTGGCAAGCAAAAGGGCCTGAGTTCAATCCCCGGTTCCGCAAAAAAAAAAAAAAAGAGAAAAGATAAAGTTTTATTTTTGTCTTTTTGAGACAAGGTCTCACTGTGCATGCAGTCAGGCTGACCTTGAGCTAACTTTATAATAAAGCCCAGGCTTGTCTCGAACTTGCAAAGATCCTCCTGCCTCAGCTTCCCAAATGCTGGTGTTACAGGTGTATTGGTACATTTTAGATGTACATAATGATAGCATTCTTCATAGGGAATTTGTACCTGTACATGATATATCTTGCTTCTTTTTCTCCCATTATCTTCCCTTCCCTTCAAACCCTGTTTTCTTATTTACAAAAACTTAGTTTCCATTTTTTCCTTTGTGGGGTAAGATGGAATCTCAGGGTTTTAATTTACATTTCTCTAGTGGCCAGTGATACTGAGCATTTTTTTTTTTTTTTAATTTTTTATTTGTGTGTGTGTGTGGCCAGCTCAGCCCACCAGGGGGCGGGCTGGCTGGCATGTGGCGCTGGGGGATTGAACTGTGGTCCCTGGGCTTTGCTAAGCTTGTTCTAAGTAGGTGCTTTAGACCACTGAGCCATCTCACCAGCTCCGACACTGAGCATTTTTGTGTGTGTTATTGGCCATTGGTAGGGACTGTGTTTTCTTTAGCTGGACACCCAGCTCAGCATACCTCAGAGCCCTCACAGAAGGGTTTGGCTTCACAGGCTCACAGGGCCTCCAACTTGTTCAAAAGGAATACACCTGTCCTGCATCCCAGAGATCCAATTTGCTGGGGATGTAGCTTAGTGTGAAGACCTTGGATTTAATCCCCAGTACTGTAAAAAGTAAAAACAAAATAACTGGCAGAGCCCTGGATTCTGGTCCCCTTGACATAACCCCAGCTCTGTGACTTTGGGCAGGTTTTAGCACCTTTGTTACAGCCTGAACTAGGGAGATGCTATGCTGTCATTCCTAGAGAAGGAGATTGTAAGCTCTAAGATCTTGAGAGGTGCCTTAACAAAATCACCCCAGTCTAGCAACTTACTTGGATGTTCAGTATATCTTTAGAAAATTCTTGGGGCCAAGGAGATGACTCAGTAGAATACGCGCTTCCTTGGCAAGCGCAAGGGTCTGAGTTCAATCCCTGGTTTCGCCAAAAAAAAAAGTATCTTCATTTCTCCTGCTTTCAGCCTTTAGAAAAAGTTATTCCAACTACCCTTGAGCGCAACTTGGAGAAGTAACTAATGATTTTTTTTCCTCTTTAAACATGGGAAAGCAGTGACACCTGCCACATAAGGCTCCTTGTTCTCCATAAAGTAACTGGCAGTGACTAATTTTCCTGCTATTTTTAAGTGCCAGTGTTTGTTTGCTTGGTAGATTTGGGTCAGAAAAGCCAATACTGTGCTGGGGAGATGGCTCAGTAGAATAAGGGCTTCCCTGGCAAGGTCAAGGACCTGAGTTCAATCCCCAGTTCCACAAAAGAAAAAAAAGGAAAAGCCAATACCATAGCCTAAAAGAGTACATTATAGATAAGTCCAAGTTTAAAATGACATCTCTGCTTTTAGTTACGTGCCTATCACTATTGGTAGTAAAATCACCAACTCTGGAGCAGTTTTTGCCCGTTCCTTGAGCCAGGTACGAGTTTGGCTTTGTACCATCATCCTTCTTACTCCTCACTTGAGCCAAAAATTCCAATAAGCAAAAACTCTTCAAAACAGATGGGTAATCGTCAGCGGCTTCTGGAGATCCCCAAGTTGGAATTTGGACACACTCCCTGTGACTGTGACAAAGCTAAGCTTGCCAGCTGAAGGGAAGCTCCTGGCTGAGGCCCAGCACCCTCTGTGGGAGCCTCTGGCCAGCCTGGCCAATAAGCATTCCCACCCATCGCCGCAGCACTAACACAGCCGAATGTTTGGTCTGGAGTCAAACACTTCTGAAAATGTACACACAGATCAGAGTGGCCCTCCACCTTCTGCCAAGACACCGAGTGCCCTCCTTGGCAAAAGATGATCACCCCTGCCCTAGTGTCCTTCCAGCTGGCAGAAAATTCTCACCAGCAGCTGCAAATCCAGGAACTTCCACCCTGTGTGCAGAAGTTAGGGCCCTGTTTCAACTCTTAATTGTCCATCTCAGAGCACTGGCTTTTTTACTTTTGGCTGTTCTTTGCCTGCTTTTAAGGGATAATCAGGATTGATTGTTCCTCTTTTAGAAGATGTGGCTCCAACTCCAGCAGTCTCAGGGTAGCTGTCACACTGGATCTCATCACTCCCAGAAACCATATGCCCAAAGACCCTAAGTAGGTAGACACACTTGGTGTGACCTGGAGAACAGGGTTTTCTCTGACCTTGGAGAGAGGTCTAGTTGCTATTCTGTGAGGATTTAAGGAATGGGGTGATTTTATGGCCAGCAGCTGTCCTTTTAACATCCTATTAACAGTCTTGATAGTCTGGAAGAGGGACATGAAGAGCCCAAGACAGGAAGCTTCTTGTTTACCCTGAGGACTAACAATACCACAGCTGGGTTGGGCGGCTACAATTTCAGAGAAAAATCATTTCCTTCTGAGACCCTGTTAAAGCAGAAACCAGACAGGCACAGAAGACCCAATGCTATTATGGGCTACTGGACTCTTTTAGAATATTTTGCTGAGTTTACACACCTATAATATTCAATAACGGAACTTTTAAAA